TAACCGGAATGCTAGAGTACTATCGGTAAGCTTGCGTGATACGCGGCATTGAAAATAGACGCCAGCTCAGACCAAGCAACAGTTATACGTTACTTTTACAATTGTGAACATTTACCTAATAATTCCAAGGTAAAAAGACCTTACTTTTATTTTTTTTTAATCGTTAATAAGTTTATGAGTATGGCGCAAATAAATTTCATCAAGCTCTAATAGTTTCGACAGACTGACAGAAGTTAAATTTGACGCAAGTTAAGTTGAGACGCAGACGGACAAAATGTTTTTCAAGTTTAAGTTTTTCATTAGTCCCTACTTTATTATTTTTTACTAGGATGGAGGACGACATGCCAGGACCATCTCGAAATGGGAGGCCAGACTGGTTTCTCACCTGGTTGAAGGAGGTGTTTTTGCCGGCCTCGAAGGACCCCGTCGCCTCACAGATTGAACTGTTCGAAGACGCCGTGGAGAAGATTCCTGATATTGACGAATCAGTCAAGAAATCGTTAACCAACACCCTCACAAACGAAGCAAGAATTTCTCTCGCCCGGGAGGATGACAAATCAAAAATATCACAACTTATCAAGTCACAAACCCTCCCTGCTGAAGAAACCGCATCCTCCATGCCATGGGATAAGTTAACTGAAAGTGAGGCGAAAATAATATCCAAGATCATCGAGAACCTAAAGGAGCAGGATTTTTCAACCAAATCACTCAAGTTCTGGACAGCCCATTTCTCCGACGTCTTCAATAAATTTTTTGTGACTAGTCGCATGGGCCGAATCGCTGTCGTGTACAATTCCTGTTCTCTGAGTTTGAAGCAAAGACTCCTCAGCCTGGACCTTGGTAAAGAAACTAGAGAAGATTCCTACTCGTACCTGAAGCTCCTGCAGCTAATCACAACTGTAGTCCATAGCCCCATTTCCCGTGATCAAGCAATGATGGACATCTACAAAGGAATCCGCCAGAAGAACTCAGAAACGGTCCAGACGTATTTGCAACAATGGCGCGATGTCGCCGAAGATGCCTGGGGGCCTAGTTCAGGCTGGACGATGTCCCAAGCATCTCTCTTGCTGAAGAAAATTTGCGATGGTTTTAACTAAACAGAATTGTCCAAGTTAACTGCCTCCATAGTGATTACTGACGCACCTCTGTTATGGACGGAGCCCTATGTATCCTGGTACGCTATTGGTTGGTACAGTTTCCACAGGCAGTCCTGCACAGATATTCAAGGGGGTGAAAAAGGGGTATCAACCTTGTGTTTGATGCAAAGCCAAGTCTGGCCCCATTATTTATTGATATGGGTTCAGCTTAACTATTTTATTTTCCAATTCAGCACATTTTCACAATCATTCAGCAACATATTGAGGCCAACTCATTTTAGGGTTCAATATTAAATATAGCTGAGTATATGAAATTTATTGCATATTATTCATCCCCCTAGGGGAGGGGCATCTCCCTTTGCCAATATACATTTTGTACAACTGAATTGTACTATGTACTGTATATGTTTTACATATGTATTCAGTAATATAGAATTGACAATATGTAACTAATTCCCGCGTAAACGCATTCTATCATTTTTGAAACACATTTTTAGCAGGTTAATTATTAACGTAGGCAATATAATGAGTGGAGATAATTTTACTTAAAATTTAATTTGGAACTCATCAACAATTTTTTTATTATAACTGTTGTGTATAGTTCATGAATCTCACTACGCCTCATTTAAAAGAAAGGGGGGGGGACTCGTTCTTCGGAGTCAGTTACCCAATCTATAAATTAGAATATTTTCCAACTGTTAAAATATGGAGTTTTAGCTGACTCACACTTAAACAAGCTTTAGATTTAAAAATTCGAATACTTTATTTTACTCTCTGTCTAATTGCCTTTCTATCCCCCAACTTTCAAATATAAAGATTGAGGGGGGCAAAATGGGAGAGGGGTGTGTAGGTTCTGTTTTAAGTTCTTTATTAATAAAAGTGGATTCTGTAAATTCACAAAACCCAAACTATTTATTGAAAATAAAGAAGCCCCTTCGCTGCGCCACTTTGTAGTATTCTCTTACTACTAAAATGTGCAATGAATTGGCAAACTTAAATTAGCAATCTTTGATAACTTTGATACTTCAAGTTATTCTACTTGTTTTTGAATCTATTATCTTTGCAACCTGACAACATTGCAGATCGGGTTATTTCCATCACTCGGGCCTAACCCTCATGCTCTGTTGCAACCTGGCATTATTATACTTCGGCTATCTCTATCATACAGAGTAAACCTTATACAATTATCTGCTCGTGCAATTATTAACACCCAAAGTAATAAATACATTTATCATAATGTTACTTCATTTATTAACATAATCATAAATGTTTACATAACATTACATAAAGATAAACTGTTGACATAATGGTTAGTTAGAATCCTTTTATTACTAAGGTTCCTTAATTTGACCTTTAATCGCCTTCTCAGTTAATCCACCAAGTCTGGCATGCATGACTGATATAGCTTTCAGCCCATCAATCAGCTTTATATCTTTATTATTACAGGTTCACTGGTCAACCCACTCCTGCAAGACCTGGAGCAGATCCCAAACCTGGTTAGTCAGCCTGCTACTGATCTCATCTATACTCTGATCAGGGTGCAGTCTGTATTCTTACTCCCAAGCCTTCCCTGTGTCCCAAACCTCAACTTGTGGGACAACAGCAGACTGGAGGGAGCTAAAGTCCTCCGGGATGGAGGACAGGAGATCCATAATCTCCTTCCGGAGTTCCTTGACTTCAGTATCAAGCTTCTCCATCTTCTCCAGGATATCTTGCATATCCTCATCCTCCTCCTCATCCTCTGATACATCCTCAGCTACGTTCTCGTCCTCTGAGGCTGGGGCAGTGATAATAGGAGTGTCTCCACTGATGAGAGGAGTGATATCAGCTGGATCAACTTCCTCTTCATCCAGTTCTACTTCCTCAATGTAGGCAGGGTTCTGTACAATAACAGGAACTTGGTTCATCTTCTCCTGCTGTAGCTCGTCCAGAAAGATTCCCTCTGTATGCTGTCTGTGTGCAGTATGTAGCACAGGTCCCAGAGCGGTAATGTGCAGGAGACTTGTGTCTACTGCTACGGCTCGGGATGTACTGATCTCTGGCATCCAGTTATATTCAAGGGACTGTTCACTCTTTTCAAGAACAATCTGGAATACAACAACAAATAGTCTGTATTAATTTACACACAGACAGTACAGGGTGTCTCAATAAACATGGGAATTAAGTGACGACTTTTATATCGTCTTCAATCCATGAGGCATTTTTTCAATAAACTATAACTGAGTATTCCAGTTTACTCATCTGATAACGATAACCCCTAGCCCCTGGTCTTGAGATTTTTCAAAATGTAGTCTACCATTCTTCAAAACTTACTGAGATATTGTACAAATTATTTAATAAATCAAACTTGTAAAGGGGGTATAGGCTTAATGCGATAAAAAATCGCTTTTGATCGCTACTAATCTTACTTCTATCTGTTGCGTCTATAAGGAGAAAATTTTTAAAGACCTCTCATACCAAATAACTTAGCGCCCATAAAAAAATCAGAAAATTACAACATACAACTTAGACCGTAAAAACATCAATTTAATTTCAAACAAATCATTCAGCTATTACAACCTATAGTCATCGATTATCTTTCGCCACATTTGTGTATAGTTCATATTTATGATTTTTTAAATTTATTTGATTTGAATTTGATTATTTCTCTTGTCGCTTGCGCAACTATCTAAGAATTCCGCGCACCACTCACATTGTTTGAAATCCGTTAAAACGTTTTCTAAAAAAAAATTAAGTGAAGCAGGGGTCCATAAAATTCCTTTTTCAATCCCATTTAGGATTGACAAATTTGAAAGAAATGGGGGCACATTTTTTAAATGGTGTTTGACCTTCTAATGACCTCTTACGACCTCTAATGACCTAAATGACCTCCAAAAATTAAAATGTTTTAACTATGGCTTTATGCATATCAAACGAAAGATAGGAACCCAGGAAATGCCATAGCAGCAACGAATCCAGTGTTTAACCATCTAATGACCTTAAATGACCTCCAAAAATAAAAATGTTATAACTATGGCTTTAAGCATATGAAAAGAAAGCTACGACCCAGGGAATACAGTAGCAGCAATGCATCCAGTGTTTGTCTTTCTAACAACCTTTAAATTTTTTTTAAATTGGGGGTATTTTTGTTTAAGTTGGGGGCAAAAAATTATTTTGGGATCGAGAAAATCAGCTATTTTGGGAATTATATGGACCCCTGATATGAAGTTCTTTTCATATTTGTTGATTTACTGTTCTAAGTAGATTTAAACAAAGTATTTGTATACAGTTGTACTGAAAAGAAAGTGAAATATGGGAATAACAAGATTAAAATTAAAATGTATACAGAATATGTACAGTAAGACAAATTGTATTAGCAAGAGCATTGAAGATTGAAGTGGTCTGGTTGGGTACCCGTACCACATGCTAACATTAAGAATATGGTGGCAGATAGGAGTAAAAAAGGCTAAAAATAAAAAAGTGGGATATGTACATGACATAATATAGTTATTAAGTCTTGGAAGGGTGTAAACAAATATTTTGCAATAAAATAAGAGGATTAAAAAGATGTAGGGCTTGAAAATAATACATAACACTGTAGATATGGGCCAAGTGTTAGTTTTGGAACTAATTTCCCCAAAGAGGAAACTCAATTGTATTGAGATTAATGCCAGGTATTGTTTTATATAGAAATTATAAAGAGTGACATTGGATATCGAGATCAAGTGATCGGGATTTGACTACCCAACACAAAAGGTCCCAACTCTGGTTGCTTATATAGTGATATGAAATATGTTTCAAAATATTCCAAAAAAGTAATATAACACGCAAAGCACCACTAATTGAATTAAATTTACTATATAATTACTTTATATAAACAAGCAGTTTCCTGGAGTTGCATGGCATTGTGAGCTGAAGATATAAAATACTTAAATGTGTTCATGTTTCATATCAAGTTTCATCAAGTGAGAGATCAAAATTAACTGAAATACTATTTTTTTTTAAAATATTTACGAATAATCATTAATCACATTATTCTATTTTTGAATAAGTTTCACAACTTTTTTTTTGAAAGATTTACCAGAATATCTAATCAGGAGAGCGTAAACAGTATTGCAAGTGATTAGGGTTTACAATGAAAGAAAACTTTTTCGCGAAACTTAGTACTTTTCGAAAAAATGAATTAACCGAAATCCATGCGAAATTTTGCGAACAAATTTTCTCTGCTCTGGGAGTAAAGCATTAGAAATCTTACTGTTTCATAATAAATAACTTCTCTTCCGTATTTTATTCTTTTTGCATTTCGCATTTTTTCGTGAAATATATTAAAGCGAAAATTTTTAGCATTTATTGGAGGAAACAAAATGCGAAAAAATTCTAAATTTTCGCAAACTTAAGTGAGCCTCTATTTGTGGAGTAGCGTTTTCAATTCACAACAATACCCTTTAAACCTTTAACTGATAAAGGATAAAGAACTTATTTAAGAAATATTTACTTTCGTAAAGCCAAAAAAAATTGATTCGAGTTTCTGATAATTCCATCGGAAATAAATATTCGGGATTTCCTAGAAGTATGTAATATATGTCAACATTCGGAGTTCTCTGTCCTCGATGACAATTCAAAGGTAAGGTTGCGTAGGAGATCGCTGTAATTATGCTTAATAAAAAAGTTCTTATGTCCTCTTATAGGGACTGTAAAGGAAAAATGAAAGGGTGTATAGGCTGAAAGCTAATCACTTTAGCTCTTGATCGCGACCCATGAAAGTTTTATCTTATGTTTCTGTCTCGAGAAATTGATATAAAACTGTGTTAAAATTATACGAAAATTCATATATGTAAAATTTAGAAAATCTTAAACTTAAACCACGTGACCAGAACTATCACCAATGGCAGAGCAGCATACTGGTCATGTGTCTCCGCCTGTATCACTTGACCACTTTACTGCACTGTCGTTGGTGGAATTTCTGGTCAAGTAATACGGACGTATAAATAATATTATGAATTAAATCTATTAAAAATAGAAATAACAAATATAAAATTAGAATTGGAGTAAGCGTAAGTTACAATTAGCTTTCTCTGGGATATCATCGTTTTCAGATTGGTTGCATATTTGCTGAATTTGATCTATCTACACCCACTACTTTTATACAAAATTGTATATATATTCATTTTTTTTATAAATTTGACAAAGTTGTAAATCAGTTTCTCGAGATAGGAACATCAGATATAACTTTCATGGGTTGCGATCGAGAGCTAAAGTGATTAGCTTTCAGCCTATACCCCCTTTCATTTTTCCTTTACAGTCCCTTTAATAAAGGATATAATATGGAATATAAATCTGTGAAACTCCTCCTCCTTCAACTGCTACTGCTGGCTAAGGTAGTCCACCCTGACAGCTATTGGAGTGAGGATTATGATAAAGGTACAGTGCAGTTAGAATGGGGCTTTTTTTCAATTCGTTCGTTCTTCGATCGTTAACGACCAATTTCATTCGTTTTTTAAATGCATGATCGTTCAATAATATTGCTCGTAAAAAAGGATAATTAAAAAATATTTGTTTGAATTATGTATATTCAGCAAAAAAATATCGTTTTTTCAAAAGTTTGTTCGTTCAAACAAATGATTTAGAAACTGTTTATTAACGGCCTGACTGATCCATAAAATGTGAATGACCGTTTAGAATATTTTTTGTTTCCGTTAATTGTCCTTTCAGTTTTCTAAAGTTTTAAGTGATTCATTTACAAATGTACCCTTTAAACTTATATTGTCGATTTTCTCTCTTTAAACTTATATTGTCAATTTTCTCTCTTTAAAAGGTTGGAATTCTTTCAATTGACGTCTTTGTTTCTGCTGCATGATCTGCGTGTCATTTTTATAGAGAAACTACATAAAAAATGATATTTTTTTTTTAAACAAAGGATATGATTCAGATATTTAAAGATACCATTAATGGGGCTAGCCTAAGGTTGTTACTCCTTTTGAAATGTACCAACAATCATATTAACCATCATTTAACAGTCGTCGTCGTATATATCAATACAATGGAGACGACTTTCGATTTTAAATTTTAAACATAATGAATACAAATAAACATGGAAATGAATTGCTTTTTTTATTTACTTTGAAACTTGTCTTTTGAAAAAACCTTATTGTAAATCAATTTGTATTGAAATAATATTCTGATTTATTTCCTCATGTTTTATGTATATTTATAGTTGTAAGATTTGAAAATTTATGCACACTGCACAGTGCGCAGGTAGAAATGCACAGATAGTTAGGCCAGTAGGAGTTAAAAAGTTAGAATGGAAACATCAGGACTGAAGAGAATGGATAGGAAAGAATAATAAGATAGAATTTGTCCAACTGATTTGAACCTCATGATTAAGAAAATAAAGAAGAATTAAAAGAAGAATAAATATTTCTTATGAATAGTTCTAAATCATTCAAATTAAAGAAAAAACCCTATTCCTTCACACAATTCAAATGTGAAATTGTATTAGTATAAACACCGACCACTAATTGTTTTTGTTTTCAGCAAAAAATTGTGAAAACGAGAGTTTAATTGCAAAACTGCTTCATGACGAGGAAACCAAGGTTATACATATTTAAAGCTCCATACTTGAAGTTCAGCTTATTCTTTTCTTATCTGAAATATTCTGACATCAGAGCTGAAAACTTTAGAATTGAATATCTGAATATTCACTGTGGAAATTTCTAATTTTCTTTTAACCCAATCTGTTTGGATAATCCATTCCCTACTACAAGTAATAAAGATACATTTGATCAAATAGATTATCAAGTAATAGGTGGCAACCAAGAAATGGACCAACTATACACGACGTCACAAGTGTAAATATAACAAGGAAAACGAAATTGTCTCACATTAGTTGACATGTTTTCCAAGATTAAATAAAAAAGTGCAAAATCAGTAAATAAAGAACACATTAAATTGTACTTATTTTACTACAAGAAAAGCACTTTATTCTAAAAGTATCACTATTTCTCATAAGTTGGTCAGACAAAAACTTAATTGACACGTGTGACATAAGAATACAACTGTACTGAGAGTGTACAAATTCTACGTTGCCCATCTATTGTACTAGAATCTATTTGCGTTTGATTACAATTACAGAGAAGATCCTTTATTGATTGGACTAATATCCTATTGAACTGAAGTCATGGCTGTTCACAAATCGGCTTCTAGAGCATTTGAACAAAAATAAATTGAAATTTGAAACATGTTAATATGAAATTATGAAAACTCTAAAAAGACATATTTTTTTCACATTTGAGGCCTATAGTCCAAATGAACGTTAGTCTTAAAAAACCTTAATCCAAAACTTACATTCCCTCAATGGATCATTAGTCCAAGATATGACACAACAAATGCGGAAACATTAAAAACGGTTTTACAAAAGTTAAATATTAAAGAGCGCATCTCTAATCTCTACAAAATTAATCTAAAGACTAAAAAGATATATGAAAAGAGAGGATCAAGCATTGATCTCGATATCCATCATTGTAAAGTGTTCAGCTCGGAATTGATAATTTACAAGACTTAGAAGATTAGAATATTTGTAGAGCTGAGCAGATTTATTACATTTATTCATTTATTATTGCCGTTGATTTCTCTGATTAATTGAATTTATAAAATGTTTAAAAAATTAGTGATTAGAATTGATGATTTTAACTTATTTTGTTTATTTGATAATAATCCATGATTGAGAGACGGGGGAAGGGGGGAGAAATTTAATATGTATCAAATATTATTTAGAGTCAATGCCATGAGGAGGTTGGGGAACTCAATGATATTCAGGTAATTGTATTTTTGCTTTAATGGTTTGCAATAATCTAATTTCCACAATCAAACTTTATAATAAAATGGCGGTAGAGGGGGGAGGGGGCTGTTTTACGCCCCTTATCGTTTTTTTTTCATTTCTTAAACGCTCTCATTTTTTGAAAATCTTCAACCTTAAAGCTTCTTGACATTTTAAAAAAGGTTAAATTTCGTAGAGGGAAATTACAGGCCTTGTGGAAGAGTTCCCCAAGGCAAGGTTGTGGTTTAAAAATCTAAAAAATCTAAAAACAGAAAGGTCTTAAATTCAAAATTAAACTCTTTAAGAGCTAAAAAACGACGAAATCCTTTACATTTTATTCGGAAAAAGATTTAAAAATTGTTCCAAAGTCTTGAATCGGAAATCTTTCTTTTAAATAATAACGAGTCAATTTTTAATGCGTTTAGGAATTTCAAAACTGCAAGCTGATGCTGGCTAAATCTTTAGGGACAAAATGTGCATCATCCACGGTTAAAAAGGTGATTCAAAAATTTTATTTTTTGAATTTTATGAATATTCATATTTACTAGCTTATAAATGTTTAATAACAATTAAGGTTAGAGTTAATATATATCACAGTGGGTCATGAAAGTTTTTATAAAAGTTTTAACTATATCGAAAATCTAGGAAGCGGAAAAAATCGCATCAAGACGAACCGACTATTTTTAGCGTTTTTTTGTAGCGAATATTTCGTTACAAAATATTTGTATAAATTAAATCTTTTCTTTCTTTTGCTAATTTTGTTGCTTTTTTTACAACATAAGTGAAACCTTTTCAACTAAACATATTTAATACATTAAAGCAATTATAGTTTAAGGTTTTAACCATAATTTTAAGATTTAAGGAATCTTAGAAAAACTTAAATTTACAATAACTAAAGCTTATACAGAGTAAATATAAAGAAGGCGTTTCTTCCACATTTTTTGAAAATATATTTTGGTTTGGGCCGACCCTCTTCAGTTCTAACAATAATCATAAAGTATAAATTAAAAAATGCTTAATAACATTAAAAGAAAATAAAGAAAACATCTTTTTAGCATTAATCATTATTATTATTGATAAATTTTCGGGGGAATTATGGAAGCAATTTGTTTTGTATACACATATAATATACTAGCTGAAGAACCCGGCGTTGCCCGGGAAAAAAATTGAAAAAATAATTTTGATTTTTTTTTGTTTCGGATATTTTTTAGCCTATATCACACCCCGGCCACCCATAAGTGTCCACAAAGAATTTCAGTCTTATATCGGTCAAGCCGTTTGGCTAGCTATACGCAACATATATATGAATGTCTTGTTTTAGTATATATAGATATTGATCTCTTTTAAAACTTAGTATTGAAAGATAGTTTTTGAAGACTCTGTCAAAATCCAAACAATTATTTTTTTTATACTGCTGGCTGGGGATCTGTTGTACTGCAAGAGTTCACTGCGTACAGTTTGTTGTTATCACAATCATACTTGTGTACAGGGTTAGGGTGTATACTAAAGATTGGCGAGACTTTGGCCAAATTGGACTGCTAGAAACTAGTTTTATTAATAACAAATATTAAAAATAATTAAGTAAGAATATTTTCTGTGTTCCGAAGTTAGAACTTTGTATTATGAATCTTGGGTTCAATCATTGTACTCCATCATATCCAGACTATGTGGATTAATGTAATTTCTCTTCGACATACTCAGGAGAACTAGATTCAAGTTATTGAGCTTTAATCCTTGAAAAATGCTTATTTTGGATATCAAGATCATGCATTCAAGATTATAGGATACTCCACACAATAGATCAGATCTGGGGTTCTTTTACTAGCATGTTTATTGATATTTACCTTAAACCAGTTGCGGGGAAGTAAAAACAGTAAAATGTACACTGAGGCACAGGGTGTCCAAATAAATTTAAAATCCAAAGTAAAAAAAATTCCAAATCCAAATTCAAATTTATTAAATAATAACAAAATATTTTAATTCAAATGCCTAATATCTTCGTTAATTTTGAAGTTATAAAGAAGGGAGACCACACTTTTGGAAAGCTCCATTTCTATCCACTCCTTGTAGTTTGTCAACTCCATTTCTATCCACTCCTTGTAGTTTGTCAACTCCATTTCTATCCACTCCTTGTAGTTTGTCAACTCCATTTCTATCCACTCCTTGTAGTTTGTCAACTCCATTTCTATCCACTCCTTGTAGTTTGTCAACTCCATTTCTATCCACTCCTTGTAGTTTGTCAACTCCATTTCTATGCACTCCTTGTATTTTGTCAACTCCATTTCTATGCACTCCTGGTATTTTGTCAACTCCATTTCAATCCACTCCTTGTATTTTGTCAACTCCATTTCTATCCACTCCTTGTATTTTGTCAACTATTGGAAACCGAAGATTTTCAAGACATATGTGAACTCTCATTTTTTATTTAAACACGGCTGTACCGAACCCTTATACCTTTAGTATACATAACTTACCTATGTACAAGACTGGATGGAGGTTTTGGATAATTTTGGGTTAAAAGCTCAAGATTTTCTGAAGGATAAGGTAAAATGAGGTATTTTTGAAGCTTATCTTTTTCATAGTAGAGATATGTACTGAAGAAAAGCGTAAAGCGGCCATTAAATTGTACTTTATTCTTTTTAGCTTTTTACCAATATTTCTAATCTGTATTCATTGTGTATTTGTTGGTCTACCAAAACAATAAGTTTGCAAGCCTATTTCTTTATTAAAACATGGTTTTTCTTAAAATTAAAATATCTCTCTACCATGCAATTGCAGGAATCTCTTTACCTAGTTCAATTACCTCTTGCTTTTTAATAATTGTAACCTTAGATTGAAAATTTTCAAAAATTGGTCTCAATATTTGTTCATGGAATCTTAACCACGGTTTTCAGCGAACGAAACGTTTCGCAAAAAAATGCGAAAATTTTCGTTCGTATTTTGCAAATTATTTTACGAAATTTTGCTTTTTTTCGCGGAAATGAATGAAGCGAAAAATTCGAGACGAAACAAAATTTTGCGAAAATATGTCCGCACCGCAAAATATGGGTCTTGTTTTCTCAAAATTTTGTTAGTTTTGATGAATTTTCGCAAAAATGTTGCATTTTCGAATTTCTTATTTCCCATATTTTCTTAAAACAGATTTCGAAAAAAAACGAAGATTTTTCGCAAGCGCATCAAATGCAAAAAAACGGAAATTTTCACGGACAATTTTTTTCGCGAAAAGAAACTATTCTCCTTTTTCGTTGGAAACCCTACTGAACCTGTTCATTGCAGTTTTAATTCAGAATTTGTGGCTTAATGAAGAAAAGAAGAAGGGTTATTCTTCATGTCATGCACTAAATTCAAGTAAGTATGCCATGCCATTTATATATATACGTCGCTTGGATAAACGTCAAAACGGCTGAACCGATCGGGCCTAATTTTCTTGTAGGACCTCGTGTGACAATAGGGAAGGTTTGTGGAAAAAATTAGTGACAATTTCTTATGTCTAGTCTTTATGAAAGAAAAGTCTTTGCTCAAATACAGGGATGTCCATAAAACTGTGGAATAGTTGGATGATATTTGTATTTGATGCTGTTTTAAAACAACAAGTTTACCAGTAGATTAAAAATAAAATTTTAAACGTGAAATATTGGTATTTCTTCATTGAACAGTTGTTGTGTGTCATACTCAGTGGACTATTGAAGAGTAAAATCAAAGTTGTATGGCTCTCATTGTATTATTTGTTCCTACTAGGTTTGGATGCTAGTATTTGCCAGGAAGATTGCAAAAATCTGGAAAAGTCTGATTTTGGTAAACAGTGTAAAAAGGATGGCGGATTTTTTAAATGCTGTGTAAGGAAAGTATAAATATGTATACATTTTTTTTAACTATCGAAATAGAAGTATGTTTTTTTTTTAAACAGGCGAGACAAGGCAAACTGCCATGAATGTAGGTTCTGTTGCACTCTACTTTTGTGTACGACAAAAATAGGAAAAAGTAAATATTTTAAAATTAATCTTGCATATTAAATTTTGCCAAATAAATTTAGTTTTCTTTGCAAAAACGTATGTATGACTTGCATACTATGCAATCTGTATATTCAACAATGATACTTTATGGTAGAGATGAGAACAATTTAACAAACGAAGTATTTCCAAACAACCGAAAATTTTTGTGAAAGAACGAAATAAAAAGCCAAACGCCGATAATTTAATGGACAATTAAAAGATGTTGAATTATATTTTCATTTAAAGGAACTTTATATAGTGCCTAATTATACCTGCAGGATACCACAATTAAAAATAATCGATTTTCAGCAAAACAAAGTAATAATATCTCATTCATTATTGGTTAAACAAAGGTTTACAGACTACCATGCAACTCTGGAAATTCCCTGAAATTTTCTTATTTTTATTTGAAATGTTTAGTTACATATACAACCTTCTCTACAAGCGATGGTAAAAGTGTTGAAGTGAACAGTACTGCTGGTGGTATTCAACAAGCTAAAGAACTATTTTATCTGACAAACACAGCTTACAAAAATCCTGATTACAGGTTAGTTTAAACAGTCTCAAACAACTACCGATCAACGTATCTATTTAGAAATTTGAATTATCTGTCTGTTTACAATTGTACTCAAAAAGACGTGAATGCGGCTAACCCAAACGAGCTCGATTTTTTGTGGCAATTAACTTACTGACCACCCAGTACACTTTTAATTATAAAATAAAAAAATCGCTAGAATTCAACCAAATAATTCAAATATTTGGCAGTAAGCTATTTTTTTAAATCAAGCTATTTTTTGTCACTTATTTGGCAGACATTTTGCTGCCAAATAAGCGATTTTTTGTTTCGTAATTTAGAGTATACCCTTTTTTGCGAAAAAATCTCTAATTTTACAATTTCTAGATGCCTGAACCCAAACAGTAATAAGGACCCTACAATATTGGGAACATATTCTCCCACTTCCTTTGCCAGTGCACTCAGTCAGGAAAAATTAAAACTTTTTCATTTATCTCAAACTAACTGAAGGGTTCAGCGTTGCCTGTGGAAAAAAATTTTTTTAATATGTAAAAAAAATAAAACAAATACCTGTAACTCCGTTTACCCGCACTTTGTATTACATCATAATTTTAGCTGAAGTGCCGGTGCTGCCCGTGGATCGATTTTTAAATTCTTAACTTTACCTTTGGGTTACCCATGCAGGGCTTCATTAAAAAATTCAGCCAATTAATTTTTGGTATAGCAAACAAACATTTAAATTATCCTAAAGATTAGCTTTATTACATATTTCGTTCATCCTATAAAAAAAAGATATAAGAAAAAACATAAAAATTTTATATAAAAAATCTTTTTTTAGACAATGAATATATGAATTAAACATTAAAAACAAAGAAACTCGATAAAAGTAAAAAAAAATTATAAAAATAATATTTGGTTTACTTGTACAGGCCACAACATATCCTTTCGACAAGAGATTTTTAAACTTTGAAGACCCTGCTGTGTTGAAACAAATGATAGGAGAAGGTTATCAGAAACACTGGAAGGAAGTTTATGGTTTTGATTTCGCAGAAATATCACGTGACTCAAGTCCGGTAAGCGACAGTGTATGGAAAAAAAGAAAAAAACATTCCAAATGTTCTTTTTAAAACTGTTTTTACCGATTAAACGAATTTCACTCTTTAGTTATGAATTTATAGTCTTATATTTGTTTTTAAAAATTTGTTTTTAAAAAAAGGAAAAATTTAAGGGGGTATAGGATGAAACCTGAGAATCTCAGGAGTTGAACAATACATATAAAACATCTATATGATGTTCCTGTCTCAAGAAATTGATATACAACTGTGTCAAATTTATACGAAAATTCTTAAATATGCAATTTTGTATAAAAGTTGTAGTATTGATTATGTTTAACAAATGCGTAACCAATCTGAAAACAACGACATCCCACATGAGCCTGAGAATCTCAGGTTTCCTTCCATTATAATTTTTTAAATTTAGATTTTTAATTGATTTGATTGATTTTCGCAAACATGGTTCAATTTTTTTCAAATCCAATTGAACCAGTTTGTTTCCCCCGAAGGGTTTGCTGGACTGTATAAGAGCTGAGAGAACGGAGTTTGCTAAGAAGTGTAAGAAGAAAAAAGGATTTTTTAAATGTTGCGCAAACAGGTTAGGAATAGGTCACTTAAAATTTAAAATAAAAAAATTGAAAAGGTGCTGTTAACTGAAAAAAAAACATTTTTTTATAAAATCATACCGATAAATATTAATTACTTGTTTTTCTTTGTACAGTATAAAACAAAACAAAATTTTTTTTTGCGGATTTCATCATTTTTTAAATTTTACAGAATTAAAAACTTTTAAACACAAATTTTTAAAATTTTGATTATTCATAAATTTGGACCCGATCGGTTCAACCATTTTGACGTTTATTGGATACAAACAAACAGACACCAAGACAAGCTAAATTTATTTATAGATAACATCTAGTTTTTTTTACAACAAATATGCAAAAAAACTAAAAAAAAATATTATTTAATTGCTCCTCCATTATTCAACCGTTTTGACGTGTATTGGATTCAAATAAAAAGACAACCAGACAAGCTAAATTTATATATGGATAACATCTAATTTTTTAAACAAATATGCAAAAAAAAAACTAAATAAAGTTTTTTATTTAAGTACTCCTCCATTATTAAAATCTCTGATTCAGAATTGTATTCTTTAATCTTCTCTATTTGAGTAAAGATATGGAAGACATCATTATAATTTTTATCTATATTTATGTATTAAGTTTTGACAGTTTCCTTCGTTGTCCTTGCAGAGAAACCTCAATTATAATTTGTTTTTATTTCAAACAAGGATATTTTATCATGTTTGATCAGAATCAGATTAAAATGGTACTATTAAATCTGTGGGAGATCACTTATGTTTCACTTTATTTAATAAGATGGGATCTCTCCACATTCCAGTCTACAAGAAAATCTCTGTTTAAACAAAATTTAATCAGGTAAAAAATTAATTAATTTAACAATGGCATTAATTTGATGACCGGCAATGTATGGTTGTTAAACTGAAAATGTGGTTTTGTGGAGATTTTTTTAGGAATCATTTAAGACCTATGAGACGTTTTTACTGTGCATATTTGTTAAGAAAGAGCACAAATTCAATCATTAAAATACTCATAGATTGTTCTGTTTTGAGGGATAATTTTGAGAATTTGTTTTTTTCAAAATTGTGAATAATGATGACAAAAAATGCAGTACAAATTCTACAGTAATCTAATTATAGTTGTTTAGGAACAGGTTGAGAAAATAAAAATTATCTCTTATCATCGAAAATAAGTAATCTTTTTCATTTATATTGGTTTCTGTAATTTCTCATTATTCACAAACAATTTCTCCAGATTTCTCGGAATTTTTATTGAAAAGACGACATTTAAAGAATTTAAAAATGGATTAATTGATTCTAATATTGATGTATTGAGAAAATTTAAATTGAAAATATGTTTTTAAACATTTAATTAGTTAACTGTGATTTTTTTTTACATTTTTCGTCGTCATTATTTTTATAATTTAAAAAAAAATTGATTCTCAAAATGTAACCACCCAAATCAATGATCTTGAATGTCGACTTTGCGCTCAAACTCAGTAATTATACATCATTAAAACGTTTTATATTTCTAAAATGAATCCTATACAATTTCTCCACAATTATACATTCTCAGCTCAACTACCATACATTGTCGGTCACTCCCTTTAAAGCAGCGCTAACTTGGGCTGTTTAGACCTTTGTCAAACCTTTCGTTAACGTGTTTTAAAGTGTTTTTAAAAGTTTACTTTAGTTAGTAATCTTATGTATTCCAGTTCGTATGAGGATGTTAAAGAATGTGAATCAGAGAAGGATTGTGGGGTTGGAACCAACGTGCATCTTTGCTCTATAAAGGTTATTGGGACCACCTAATGCACATGGTTACAAAAGATGAGAATTTAATGACGACTTTTTTTACTTTCGCGTAAGGTTTAAACCTTATCTACCGTCATAAAAGTTGTCTTTACATGTTTAAAATATGTTTTGGCAAAGGTAGCAAAAAATGCTGAAGCTGAAAGGAACCATCAATGAAAGAAACATAAATGAACAAATTTCGTACACTCGTCTTTAAAGTCTTATCCCATGAAGGTAACCCTGTTTCTACAAATTTTGAGACTTCAGATTCACTAAAGCTCTAATCTTATAAACAATTTTAAAAGCAAAAATGCAAAAAAAAAGAATGGCATTAAACAATAAAAACACGATATAAATTTATATCAAAAAAGTCAAGTTTTCATCTGAATTTTGTTTTCAGAATGAATTTACTGGTATGATCAAACTTGAATTCAAAAGTCCGTTAGGAAAGCATTTGTATTCAACATTTTGATATTCTTTTCATCCAGGTTGTCAACCTATGTTTAGTTTATCTGAGTTTTTTCTTAACAAGTTTTTTATCATTAAAATTCTCCATGATTGTGTTTTTTAAGGTTTTTGATTAAACAACAGAATTATCAAAACTTAAAAATTTCAGAATTCAAAAATTTGTCTTGTATATCTCGGGATCTTATTATGCAGATCTACGAATTAATTTAATTCCTATTCGAAATCTCGTTGTGGTCATTTATAGTGATATCTCATCTGTATTTGTTAATTTAACCATGTTGGATATCAAGATGAAAATTAACAATATCTAAACAAAAGTTCAGATGTTTAATGCGTCTTGACAATAAGCTCTTATGAAAATTATAAATATAGCAATGATGAGAGAATTCAGTAATATTTCAACAATAATGTACTAGGCAAGGTTCGATAAAATGTTTGTGGTAGTAAATCCTACTGGGGGAGCTACAATTTTTAATGCCGAGAAAGGAGAGAAAATTGAATCAGAAAGTACAGATTTGGTAGTTGTGAAAAAACTTTATAAAATTTCTTTATAATTTACTAATATTATTTTCTTGAAACCATTTATTGATTTATAATCTGAGATGACCCTTTCTAATATTGTAAAAGTTCTATTCCGTCACAAAAAATGACAAGCTAAATTTCTTTGACCTCCTCCTTTCCACTACTATACTTGATTGTTATCTTAGTCTCAAGTTAATTTAGCCATAAGGTAATTGTCTTATTTATTCAAGATTTAAGATTTTTTTCATGTACAACTTTCTGAGGTCGTAGCGTCTGCAGTTTTGAAAACCTATCCCCCCCCCCTCCAACCCCAAGCACAGTTATTTGGTTGCACTAACATATTAGACTTTTGAAACCTTTTTTGTTCAATTCTGATAGCTCTTTGCAAAGTGGAGTTATTGTAATAAACTTTAAAGATTTAGCTTTCAAAATTTTCAAAATTTAGGAAGCTTAAAATTTATTTAGAATATGGGTTTCCGTGCTTCTTGGTGTATGAACCTTGACACGTGCCTTGTGAGTAGTAAGTTGACTTAGACATTTTTATATACATATTTCAATTTAAACATAAAATTCGTTATTTTTTAATGTTAAATTCTTAAAATTTTATGCTAAAAAACTGATTTCTTAAAAAAACTTTTATATATTAGCTTTTAAATAGCGAAAGCGTAAAATTCTATTAGATTGATGAATAGCAACAAACATTTTAGAAACGTAGACTGCAAATTCTTTCGATCGAAGATGAACCACAAAAGAAAAGTTGTTTAATTTATTGTATAATAATTTTGTTTTTACAAATTTTCACTTTATTAACATATTTGATTAGTCCTGGTTCTAGTTCTAACTCGAGCACATTATTACGAAAATAATAGAAATTTAACAACACTTTTTGATGATTGCTTTGCCATATTTTTTTTTTTAATCCCAAAATAAAATTCATTACAATTTTGTATTCTATTTGTTTTCCAGGAGAAGGGCTATGAGTATGATATTATTCCATTCTTGAAGGCTCATGATAAACAAACCTTCTGCAGTTTAAGTATGCATCTAATTTACTGTTTATTTAGTCTATTAAAGACGAAATTTAAGTGACTCCTCGTGAATGCCGATGG